CCCCCCCCCCCCCCCCCCGCCGCCGTTGCCGCTTTTGTTGCGCTGCGAGCAGCTGATGCAGGGGATCAGCCCTCGCACGTCGGCGGCGTCATCCATCCGCGTGTCAGAGGATTCGCCGGCGGGTGAGGGAGGACAAGACCATTCGCTTGGTGGAGGGTCGATAGCTCGCGCGTACGACGGCGCCGAGCCGCACGGATCACCGAGCTGGTTCGACCGAGTGTTTTCGGGCATTTCGTTCGGCATGCCGGACAGGTGAATGAGCAGGCGGCAGGAAGAGCGGGAGGGGTTGCTTCAAGAATGTAATCTGCGTGATGTCACCGCGCGACCCTGTCAAGCGATATTTTGGTACCGCGGTACGTACAAGACGGAAGCGTGTTTGTGTATGGTACCCGTTGCTTGGGCCCACCGATAGTCCGTTCATGCGCTTTCTCGAGCTCGGCTTCGCTCATGCCCTCCTCTCACCTCCTTCCGTGACAAGTCTCCTCTCATCTGTCTCGCAAAAAAACCTAACCAACATACACGTTGCCGTCGCCAGCAACAGGGGGAGCAAGACCCCCAAGAGGACAGCCGCAGCGGCGGCCATGGTCATCCAGCGTTGGCAGCGGCGAGTGGCTGCGGCGCGAATGGAGACGGCGAGGGCACGACAGGAGGTGGCCAACAGGCGCTGGGCGGTTGACAAACTTCACTCTGCCTACGCGAACAGGTGGCGCTTCGAGGTGGCCGCTCGGCGAGAGCGGCGCCAGAAGTGGGAAGAAGAGGTGCGCGAGGTCGGGGGGGGGGGGGGGGGGGGGGGGGGGNGCGTTGCTCGTCTGCTTTTTGGTTGTGCGGGGGCCAAGCACAGTTGCTCTCTATTGTTTATTTGTTCAGCCTTCGAAGAAGATAGCAGCTTCCAGGCGCGGCAAGAGTTGCAGAAAGCAAGACAAGAAAAAGGCCGCGATTCGACCTGTACCATGGTAGTACAGTAACGAATAATGAGGCGTTTGTGCTGATGCTCTGTGCTGATAGATTTGTTGTACTAAGACAGACAAGCTCCCACGATGCGATTTGGCCGAGAGGGTGACTTGGATTCTACCGTACATACTCCCACGCATTTCGGATGCTAAACCTACAAAATGCCCTTCATCTATGTTGCGAACAATTTCGTTGAACGCAAAGCATGTTTCCTGTGTATCCCATTTGTTTGCACCGCTTGACGCACGCATACCAATGTTGTGCTCGTTTCTCTATTGTGGCATTTTTGTCGTCAAAGGCACGGAGGAATATCGGTGACAAGAACGGGCGTGGACTGCGTGGTCTGTGGGCGGACATCACGAGGTGTGTTGATGAAATATGATGTAGCTGGGTGTTCTCGGCTGGTAAGCACGCTCCTATCCTCTCAGGTGTTTGTTCTTTTGCTGCTTTCAGTGGAGACGACTGCAGGCCATGCGCAACTAGCACCAGCCTGTTTGAGGCATTGCGTGAGATCCCGCGTGAGGTACTTACTGCCTACTCCCCGTGTGTGCGTGCTTTGCGATGGTTGACGGCGAAAAATCCGTGTCTATGGTCGTGACAAGGCTTGTTTGTAGTTGGGTAGTGTCGAGCTTCTGTGAAATGGTGCTGATGAAAGACATCGTAGTGCATGTTCGCAATCCCTGACTCACCTGTCTTGACAGCTTGCGGGTTTTTGGACATGTTTTTATCCTTCTAAGTTGGTTTTTAACAGAACTCGTCTTTCTTACCCCATCATTTCGAGACTGTTTACACCCTGATGCCTTTTTGTGTAAATCTGTGTGTTCTTGCTTTTTGTACGTGAACCTCAACCGCGTCGCAGTCTTGCTTCCAGCGATGACTTCTTGTCATTCAAGGGATGGCTTGCACGACGCCAAGCCCGGCAGTTACAGGTGACAGCGACAACCAGTATGCCTTGCATAAGCGTTGGCGCCCACGTGCCGCATCGACAACCTCTATGTTCGTTTTTTGAGGCATCATGTGGTGTATCATTTAGCCCTTTTCCATGTAAGCGCCCTCCGCCGTCCGCATCTAACTTAGATCGATGCCCTCTCTCCGTCCCAGCATGCGCAATGAATTCCCCCGCGTGAGTAGTAGAGAGATAGATACCAGATGGGAACGATGGAAGGAACGCCGCCCCTCGCCTGTGGATTGTGGCAATGTGGCTGTCTTGGTTAGCTTGGAGGCCGCCCTCGCTCCTACACGTAGGTGACGTCACCATAGCCACCCGACACTGCGTCGTGCCGTTGCGTAGCATACCCGCTGACTCGACATTACGCCCCCGCCGACAGCAGAAGGATATTGAGGATGCGGATGCGGACTGCTGCGATGTGGCTGGTGAGCACGTCCTAGCCTCGGAGATCGACGCCTGGAAGCTGCCCAACCAGATCTTCGGGAGTGCCGGGGTGGGAGAGGCCCAAGAAGAGCGAGCTCGTGCTCTGTGCAGACTCAAGGACGATGGTGAGATTTCTGTCTGTCTGGTGTTTGTCGGTGTTGGATCGTTTACGTGTTCTCGACCCCGGTGCGTAGCTCCTCCTGCCGCGTATCTTAACGCTCGCCCCTTCCATCGCCCATTGACGAACGCCTTGTCGTGTTTGTCCCTCGCGCCGCCCCCTGTCGCATTTCGTCGTGCTTTCGCTCGCTCCCCTGTTCGTCGTGTCTCGGTTCCTCTTCTTCTCCCATCGTTTTCATCTTTTTCCTTTATATATTCCTCGACTCTACTCGGGATTGAGAAGCCGCGTGGTCTTGTCCGGAGAAGGCTCTGTCTCCCGTGAAGGTGTTTGCGATGGTGTCGGTTCTCCTCACAGTGGCGTTTGAGGGGGTGCTGCCGAACGCCGCAGCTATCGGAGTCTAGTGAGCTAGCTATTTTCTCCCGGCAATGGACCCGTTTCCTTTGTGTGCTTTTAGAGACAATAGGACTGTGATATAATAAGTTCACCCAAGTTTCATTTGCGTGTTGATGGTGCCGTCAGGATGGTGCCGTCAGGATGGTGGGACACAGCACAACGTATGAGTTAATTACAAGTATTGCGCCGGGCGGGACGGCCTTTTCCTACCAGATGAACCTACGGAGTACAAAACCACCAGTGTAGCTGACTGAATCCGTGGGAAATGTGAGGAATGTGTACAGCCGCACAACCTTGCTGGTTTTTGTGACGTGAGGTCTTTGTGGGTACCACTGGCACGAACCAACCAGTTGGCCCACGCTGAAGAAGGTATTGGCGGGTTGCGTTGAGTTTGTTTGTGGTGAGTGCCACTGCAATGCTAGACTTGTTGTCGCTTAGCCAGTACGGCCCTTCTGAGGGGATGTCGTGTCTATTGACGGGGGCCAGCTATGATTGTGATGGAATCGAGCTCTTCGTCCTGGGGCAATAAAGGCGCGGTGCCAGCATTGGTCTTCTTGATACGGAAAGGTGTCGTCGATGCGTCCATGCTGCAACAGTTGTCATGCAATAGCCGGATGACACGACATCGTTCGATTGAGCCACAATATACCGTACCGGCGGAGACTGACCGCTGTTGCGTGCCGCTCGATCTACCGTTGTTTCTGCATGGAGTTTAAAGCAAGATAGTGATACAGGGTGCGGTGTTTTGTGGTGTTTGCGTTTGTAAGGATTTGATGGGCAGCCGCAGCGTTCTTTGTTTTGTCGGGCTTGGTGTTGTCGGCTCCGTTCACTCTTTGTTGCCCGCATGCTAATTGTGTCACCGTCTCGTATTTTTTACATGCTGCGCACCCGCCGTAGAGGCTTGTAGTTTTTTAGTCGGGAAGTGTGTATGTGCTGGGAAGGCGAAAATCACGAAGTGTGGAAAAATGCCAGAAAAATTGACGAATGGTGATGTCGTTGGTATCCTATTAGAGGTAGATTGAGCAACCGCTTCCTTGGTGCATATTAAAATGCATATGACACGAACGTACGTTTTGCTTTGCCCGTTTCACATCTTGATATCGCAGCTGCGTTTTAATTTAAGTTGAGTAAGCCCCCTTGGCAATGAGGTCACCGCTGGTGTAGGCAAAAGAGAAAGTGAGAGAGAGAGGGAGGGAGGGAGGGACGGAGGGACGGAGGGAGGGAGAGAAGAGTCAGGCGAAGACGCCATGGAGTTGGGAAGAACGTACATATTGTGGGTGTCAGAATTCGAGGGATAAAAAATGGAAGTACGATTGTTTTGCTTTCTGGATGTTAGGTTCTCATTCCTGATGACACCTGCCCGATTGTCTGTGTGCTCATAGTGCATTGGCCATGTTCGAGGTGCAAAGCAGGCAGAACAGCAGGCACTACGTAGTAGCACGGACTCTGAATCCGATATGCTCCGGAGTTTATTTCTTAAACTAGTCGGAGCACCGGCGGGGAGGAGATGGTAACGTTTGCGAGACTGCATGGCCCAGGACTGCTGTGCCTTTTTGCCTTCGATGGGAAATATTGGAAAGTGCAGAGTGAATCACACCGGTTTATGGGTGTTATGCATGCTAGCTATTTGCATAGCCGACCACAACGTGTCGGAGGAGTTTCGTGTTGTCCAGAGCATGAGCTTAGTGTGGTTTAGTCCAGCGTCCCTTGATGAGGGTTTGAGGTGCTGTGGCACCGAACATTGGAAGGGAGCACTTCACGTTTTTTGCCGTCCCTTTTTCCCGCGCCAGGCCTGTGGAAGCTCTCCCTCGGATGGACGGTTACTCCAATGTTTCTGTCTACGGTCATGAAGCCTAGTGCAACTTTTGTGGACGACGGGCTGCTGTCTGTGTGGTCTGGTGGCGTGTGTCGTTTGGCCGGTCAATGGAGTGAACGTGCCTTCGTTGGCAACCCTTCCTGCATGGATATAGATTTGTAGGATGACCCGGTTGAGCTAAAATTGCTCGCAGAGAAAAAGTCTGGTGATGGCGTTGATGAGGAGAGATGTAGCAACAAAGAACAAGTCTAGATTGCCCGAGCATTGGCAAAAGTATTACGTTGTGTGACATTTGTGGGGTGCACGACACTTACTCATCCAACAAGTCCGGGGCGCCGTGTGCGTGGGTTCAGCGTCAGTTATAGCGGAGATGCGCGGTCGATCGTTCACGGCGAAGATCCGGCAGGGATAGATAACCGACCACCCCGCGAATGGGTTAAATCGCCTGCCGGGTTGCCTCATAGGCGTACATACTTGTCGCTTGACACACGACCGTGTGAATACCTTATGTTACAACCGATTGTCCTCGTGGGTATGGTCACGTCACCAATCAATATCAATCGGTTCGGTTCGGTCTCTCTCGTGTGATAAATGCATCGAGACGTAGGGTCCTACTTTGACAGACGAGTTTATTTGCGGGTTCAATGCTTGGTATAGTATGCATTTGTACACCGATGGTTGCCTTCAAACCTATCCCTGCGCCCGTGTTCAATCTTCAGTGCATACCGTAGATGGGGTCATCACGTGAGGTCCATACTCAAAAGCAACCCCGCCTGCCAACCCCTCTGCACTCAATTGGAGTTTTCACACACACACACACACACACACACACACTCCACCAGGGCCAATCGGTTGGGATCTCTGCGACAACGATAGTAGTGAAGGTTATTCTCTTGGGAATGACGAAGACGAAGGAATGGGAAATGGAAGAAATGAGGACGAAGACGACGATGGAGCAGGAGAACATGGAGGAGTGGAAGAGAGCAAAGGGTTTGAGCCAGATGACCTTCCCCACAACAGAAACATAGGGCTAGGGAAGAACTGCCCAGAGATTCTTCTTGTCGAAATGAGGATCATAATGATGGTAGCGAAAACAAGGATACTGGGGAAAGTACTCCTAAACGACCTCGAGTACTAGGTTATATATAGCCTTGGTAGACGGGTGCAGTTTTCTTCTGTTGCAGCTGGTTCTGTTTTTGACCCGAAGGATAGTTTAGCCTACCCCATGCTGCCCCCTCACGGGGTCCCAGTTCATGGTAGATAGAAGTGTTTTGTGTTTTCAACCGCACTAAGACTGACGTCTTTTCATTGGTCAGCCGGTTAGCGCGGTCGATGCTAATAATATAACACACACGCACACTTGTGAAAGGGCCATAACAATTTTGGTGTGTTTCAAGTCTATCACTCGATCAGTGAACATGATGTTCTTGTAGCGGTAGCCATCAGGAGAGATACATCACTAGACCAAACCTACATCTATGAATTGAGTGTACACCTCAAGACACTACCAGTACAGTACAGAATTGGCAAGCTTACCGTGCACAGCACGTGGAAACGTTGAAACTCAACTCGATCTCCCCGTGTATCATCCACGAATAAAAGGAGGGGGGGTACATGCTTTCCCCATCAGCGAACTTTGCACCCGGGTTGCAAGTCCCCACACGTTCCTCGCCCTACCACTGACACCCCCAAAAGCACGGAGGGGTGGGTGGGAAAGGAATATATCTCCGAAATACTCTTGGCTGCAGCAGCCTCTCGCTATCTTGCTTGTTTGGGACAGACCAGCAAGTGCACCCATGTCTACTCAACTTGTCAGATTTCAGGCACTTCACCCTGACTTCATGCTGCTGCTCTCTGATTGGCCAACTATTAATAGTATTTCATCTTCCGCTACTCACAAAACTCAGATTTCAACGCCTCTGCCTTGCAATCTTGATCTTCTGCTTTGATCGTTGCTTTCTTGCGAATATTGGATTAACGGTCGTACCCACCCACGCTTGAACAGGGGGGGGAGAGAAGAGTGGAACACGGGGGTAGCACACCTCTCTCCGTTCCACAACACCATCAGTATAAACCAGTCAACGCACCATCAGGCATGCTCTCAAAGCCATGCCTGCCCACAAGCTAATAGTGGACTGGTTTACGTTACTGATCCTCCGCATATTCTCTCCCCCCTTTCCGCCCCCCCCGGTGTTTGCCATCGGGGTTGGGTTTTCGTCGCTTGGCAACGACGTTGTAAAACAAGCC